TCACATATAAATTTTTATTTCTTCTCCATTTACTTTGTCTTGTCAGGATGATGAGTTTCTTGGAAGGAGCTAGGACATGGCTAGTAAGGCGTCTGCAACAACACAAGATGTGTGTGTTCTTTTTGGGTCAAACTCGGATATTGTTCCTTCCACTACAAGGAAGTATTTAGGTTTTTTTTTTTTTCATCATGTACATGTAAAACGAGACTCAATTTTTAAGTGTCAATAAATTGTTCGTAATTATCTGTTCAAATGCTTCTAGACTGCTGTGAAGAGGTTCCTGAAGAAGGACATTAGACTTAGCACAAACTGGAAAAAATGAAAATTTGGAGGCATTACAGGTTGCTGCAACCTGCTCACTAAAATTGGAAGCAAGTTAAGTTTTACAATGTGTATATTATAAGATGGCTAACTTCCTTTCACGGCCACACCTCCTTCGTGCAGAAACAAGAAAAGCACAACGGTTTGGAGGAATATTCAATTCAATAGAGAAAAAACAAAAAGAATGGAAAGCAGTACCTATAACTGTTTATCAATGAGAAATTATGCAATGTGAATGGTACGATCATTTTGGAAAATATTAATTAAAAATAAAACTGAATGATAAAAACCGTCATATATCAAATGGAACAAGCTTTGAGATAAAGAGGTTGGCCTTGTGTTCAAATAGCCTTTTCACATAGAATTGCTTGAGAGCAGGTGGTCCTTAAATTGATAATTAACTTCAATAAATTGTACAAGTTGGCCCCAAGAACTATCATCTAAGCATAAAAGTTTATATCAAACCCAAAAAGTACTACAAACATGATCACTTGGATGAGAAGTTCCATGACAGCAAAACAAACACCATCAAAGATGTTAAATCCAAAGTACAGCAGATGGTCCAACTTCGAGACTGACATAAACGAACAAGATTACTCCATTAAAAACCTGCAATGCAAGAAAAAAAACGAAAAAGAAAAAATGAGACTACAAGAATTTACCAGAATTTCTGCTCCTAATTGATTTCAAGGAAAAAAAAAACCAGTATTTGATTCGTCTATGCTCCTAAGAACATTAAAAATTGCCAATTTATATCAAGAATTCATCAATGGAACCCAAATCAAGAACTACTCATTAGAACATATATCCAGAATTAATCATTATAACCGAAATAAAGAATTGCCCATTAGAACTCAAATAAAAACTTATCACAGAATCCCCAAATCAATAACCCATCTCAACCTTGACCAGAAATTGTTAAAATTAAAAACCCATTGCAGAACCCCAATTCGAAAATCACAACCCAGATTTAGAACGAAACATAAACACCGCTATGGATACACCTACCTGATTGGCATAGAATTCTTGCAAGCTCAACTCGCGATGGCAGCTCTTCCTTCGTCTTGGAAGGGAGGGCTCTTCGTCTTCTTCGAGCACTCCACAAACTCAGCCATCGCTTGTTTTATTTTTCCAGTAGGGAGCTTCCACACTCCCGTCCCTCGATACTGTCCACCCTTTCCTTGGACTACTAGCACCTAGCATTGAAATTTCACAAAGCCAAAAATTACAGCCAAGACAACAACATCATGGAAAACAATGAATATGGTCTCAAGCACTATAACAACGGTCAACTGAACATTAAAGTAAAAGGATCACACATAACTTTTTAGACATTATAAGCCAATCGTAGTAGGAGTATGTAAGTCCAGATAATCAAATAAAACTTTTTAGACTTTTACCCTGCATGCCATACACCCGCTTACTCAGCTGAACTGTTCTAGGGAGGGATGGAACATAAACACGCGCGCACACACATGAAGAGTGCAAGAAGTGAAAACTACTGTAAATTGATAGTTAATGTGAAGCAGCAAAGGCTTAGTGCTAAATGTAGAGGTTGGAAAACCTACTCTACCGCAAATATATTATGTAAGTGAAGGCTGACAGTTTTGGCTTCCAATTCTCTGTAAACCAAATTGCCCATCTTAAGGAACACAAAACTAAATAATTCTATGAGGCATACAGCCCATGCATTATTTAATATCAGAATATGAAATTGTCCCTGTATTTTTTTTTCTCTTCATGCCCATTAGAACTCAATTCAGATGTCATACACATGATATTCCAAAATTTTAAAAAACCATTACAAATCTGGAGGAGTGATCTTCAAACCCATTAAAACCATATCAGAACTCATCCCAGAAGTCCAAATCGAAGAACCATGGCTCAGATATTGAAAGAATCAGAACCAATGATAACATACCTCTGTCGCAGACGATGGTGGGTCTTCTTCTTCAATTGACGATGGTGGGTCTTCTTCTTCAACTGACGATGGTGAGTCTTCTTCTTCACATCGTTTGGTCTGCGTGAAAGGTCTCCAAGCGTTGGAGGAAGAAGAAAGACGTTTGGTTTCCCAGCGTACGTCATTCCCAAGCGTAAGTGGAGTTTGTGGTGGGTCAGGAGTTTTCAAACGGGTTAAAACATTTAAAAGAATCACAGCCACACAAGCTCATTAAAAGAGATCCAACGGTTGAGCGCCCCATCCCTCAAATAACACTATTTGAGGGATCCCTCAACTGAAGGGGACTGTATGTATATATATATATATATATTTATAGCATACTGAGATATTTAAACTCTTTCTAAATATCAGAAAGAAAAGAAAATCTGCAAAAAGAACAAGAAGAAATATTACGTACCTTTGAGTTGCAGTAATTTTTTCCCAATTTGCCAATGATCCAAAAATAAGAACAAGAAGAAATATTAATACCCCCCAGCTGTAGTAGTTCTTGCCAATTTTGGCAATCCCAACACGCCCGCCTTTGGTTGAAAAAATTTTATTGTTAACAATGTTGATACTTCTTGTCATCAATATTGTTTGAATAACTTTGTTGTTGTCCAAAACCACAACTTCACTGCCTCCAGTTGTGAAAATTATATTGTCAGAAATGTTCCAGGACTTGTTGCTTTCATCATCACTATTTTCACTTGTTGTTGTCATCTCCTTGTGCAGTTATTGACGTTCATTTTGTATTGAGAAGATGGGAAGTCTCGGAGATGCAAAGATATAACAATGGAAAGGGTCTATGAGCAAATATTTCAAAACAGCTAGATGAATGGTATAGTCAAAAGTCTCGGAGATGTAACTTGTATTAATTCTACATTGAGAAGATAAGTTCACATCAATTATAAAAGAAGTGCTTGCAATTTTCTTATCAGACAACATTGCTTGATTCAGTGAAATGGCTTATATTAAATGGTTTTCCCAAGTAATTTTCTGAATCACGATATTGATTGTTATCTTCTAAGTCAGCTCGAGTATCCAAGTTGAGGGCCACTGACATTGGAAATTGTCTGAAGTCAACTGTAGCTTGTTAGTCTCCGCTTCAATGTAATGCACAATGGAATCTTATAAGACCTTAAAATACTTTCAATAATAAAAGTTCTCACGTCATCATCATCGACTATATCTACGGGCCAAGCATTTTTCGTTGAATTTAACTTTCATAGTTATCTCCAATGGCGGATCCAGGATTCAAAAGTCAGGTAGGCGAAACTTACCTTAAAAACTTGACGATACGAGTGAAATTCATTCATAAAAATAAAAATATACACTTAGTCAGGGAGAACGTAATGAGATTTACCCTCAGATATGCATCTCTATACATAAATAAAAACTTAACAAAAAAAAAAATTTAAAAACAAATTAATGCAATATGCAACACAAAACTAAACTATTTAAATCTAAAACTAAATTAAACTATTAAAAAACTTAAGATGCATACATTTATTTTCAGAAAAAGCCAATAGAAGAATACTTGTTGGCCTTAGATATGAGAAGATTCTACCAAGAGAGAATGTCCAGACTCAAGAAGAAGCTACAAAGGATAATGATTTGAGACTAACGACTATTGCATAGCCAAAAGGGAATTGGCTGCTTACTTATATTGCTTCCCCCCCTTTTCTTTTTTTAAGTTTGACTGAGCCATATAACACATGTGGGTTGCTTTTAAGTTTGGTTAGGCATGGGTTCAAACCATTACATGGGATGGATAGGAATAGCCTTGCTTACATATAGGTTTTTTTTTTGCGTGAAAAAATTTAGGTAGGCAGTTGCCTACCCTGCCCTTGCTGTAGGACCGCCACTGGTTATCTCATACTCATTTGGATCCAGATTTAAAATATCATACACTTTATTCCAAAGTTTCTCTAATGTAATTTTCTCTGAAACAAGTACTCCTTTAATTTTGCCATTTTTATACGTTGAGTGAACCCAGCTCGCTCCACGGCTAATTAAAATTGTCAGTCAAGACGTGGTACTGAAAAGTAAGCCAAAAATAAGTTAATAAAAAATAAGAGACACCTTGAATAACAATATTCTGACAAGTGTCAATACAAAAATAGAAGTGAGAAAGCTACTTAACTACTGAACAAAAATGAAATTAGACAAGCTACTTAGCTATGGAGCAAAAATGAAAACAAAACGACAGCTATGATAATATCAAATATAAATTTCATATTAATACTATTTAATAAGTTAGGATGTAAATATCAAATATATATATATATAGAAGATTCCTGGCATAGCACCTCCAGAACATTGGCCACATACTAAAAACTACAAAGCAAAATAAAAACTTGAATACACTATATATAAAAAATAATAATTATGCAGCAAACTCATAGTAAATGAAACGACCCGACCCAATTTCCACTTTGAAATCCGGGCCGAATCCAGTTTTAAATTGACACCTGGTAACTGTGGATCGAAAAAGACGAAAATACTCTGAAAACAATAACATAAACCCTGAGCCCCTAACTCGTGGCTGCGCCTAAACAACTGTAGGCTGCCTACGTACCCTTACTGAGGGATCAAGCCACACGTAGTTCTTTCCTCTGTTCCGGACCTGTAACTGGTTTGTTTTACTGTACACCCCACTCTAGGGCTGACATTTCTGGAGTATCCGGGACTCCGTTTTACGATCCGTCAAATACGATACGATCCTGGGAAAGTCTAGATTAACATACTTGAAATTGACTACGATCCAACGGTTCAAACGTATAGAACCCGGAAATCGCATACTAGGCGAGATCCGTTCGGGGTTCAAACGTTATCCGAATTAAGATCTGCGAAATCCTATGCGCTCGTGAGAACTAGGAGATCGCTCTAGAACTAACTGTGGTCCCCACCCTGCTGCCCACCCGCCGCCACATGCGCTGGCAGCGCGTGGTGCCTAAAGCGATAACGCTTCGCCGGAAAATCTCAACATCTCGGCTCAAGACTCCTATTCTAGGTAAAACACCTTATTTGGAGCCACTTTTGTTCTTGGATCAACCCGAAAAAGTGGCCGGAAGTGGCTGAAACCGTGGTCTCAAAACCGGCCGAACCCTAGGTTCGAAATTAACCCTTTCACGCTAGAAATTCCTCAAATCCTACTCAACCATCAGCTAGAGCATGAAAAATAGCTAGAAATCCATACCTTACTCGACTGGTTTCGTGGCCGGAGGAGGGAGAACGGAAGCTTGAAAATTCTGCTAAAAACCGGCTTTTCCTGGGCTAATTCCGGCGGTTCCTGTCGGTTTCGACGGTGGGGTTTGACCGGAAAGGGAAAAAAAAAACTGACCCTCCAAATTTACTATTTTGCCATCCAACTTATTTTGACTATAAATTCTTCAATACAACTCGGATTGGGGCCCACTACGTGTCTACGAATTCATCTCGCTACGCTCTACGCAACGGTATAACTGAAATTCTCAAATTCCCTCTTGGTCAAAAAGTCAACCTTTGACCTAATAAAAATTCAAAGGGCATTTTAGTCTTTTCCTCCAATAAATTAATAATTAAATATTAATTTTAGGTTTGGGTTGTTACAGTAAATGACCAAACTAAACTATATATAAAATAATAGCCTTGCAGATTGACAATATCCTAAAGAAAACATTTTCAATTTCGCCCTTTCTCAATTCTTGAATTTCAATGCACGGCTATATCCTAAGATTCAATTATCTATAAATCAAGGAAAACACCGAATCCTTGATCTCTAGGGAACATAAATTGTTTCTTCTCCAATACAGTATGTAGAAAAAATATGAATTTTTTTTAATTAAGAATGCCCAAATTGGAAAAAAAATTAAAAATTACTTTCACGGCTTTGGATATTTTGTTTATATAACACATCATTTTATTTGAATTATGCTCTTAAAAATGAAAAAATTATCAAATTATTTTCGATTTGTATCCAATCCAAGCCCATCAATTCCACCACTTGTATCCAATCCCAGCAGCCCCTCTTGAGGTTTTTTATTTTTTTACAAAACTCCTTGAGATTTTAGAAAATATAAGAACACCTTTAATGATTTTCCAAAAACTGATGATTTTCTACCCAAAAAAAATATATATATATATATATCCAAATGACGAAGTTGGCCTTTGAGATTAGATTGCCAATTTTGCCAATCCCAACACGCCCGCCTTCGGTTGAAAAACTTTTATTGTTAACAATGTTGATGGTTCCACCCCTCCTTGCTGTCATCAATATTGTTCGAATAACTTCGTTGTTGATGTCCAAATACACAACTTCACTGCCTTCACTTGTGATAATTTCATTGCCAGAAATGTTCCAGGTCTCGTTGCTTTCAGTATCACTATTTTCACTTCTTGTTGCCATCTCCTCGTGCAGTTGTTGACTTTCATTTTGGAGATCCATCTTATATTGAGAAGATGGGAAATCTCGGAGATGCAAAAATAACAACGGAAAGGGTCTATGGGCAAATATTTCAAAACAGCTAGATGGATGGTATAGTCAAAAGTCTCGGAGATGTAACTTGTATTCTACGTTGAGAAGATTAGGTGAAATGGCTCATATTAAATAGTTTTTCCTTGACGCAGGTATTGTGTAGAGTCGTTAATTTCCTCGTATCTTAAAATCCCCCAACCCACAAATAATATATACTAACCTTCTGTTGCTTTGACCCTTTATCGGAAGGGTTCAATTGGCGCAGAGAGAAGATATATGTGGGACCAAAATAAACAAGTCCAACTAATTTGCAATTCGTCTGTTGATATATCCTAAAATTTGTAACCCCAAGTCAGAATCCGCAGAAAAATATATCCAACAAATTGATATAAGGAGAAAAGAAAAGCAAATCAAACAGGCAATGCCCAGAAAACAATAAATTTCAAATTAAAAACAGGCAATGCCCAGACAAAAACCTCGCCAGCTGTAGGCTTTCGTCTTAATCATTTTGTTTTATTATGGCTTCAATGATTGGTCGCCAAGTGCATTGAGTCAGACAATCTTTAGTAAAAAGGTTTGCTGTAAGTGGCAGTCGTCACTTCATTATTTTGGATTTTTGAGAGTACAGTTTTTTCTCTTCATTTCAGTTA